CATGGGTAACTATGAAAAAACTATGAAAATTTATGACAAATACCCTGGGAAATGATAGATACATAGACAGTTAAAATTGCAATGAAAGAAGAACAAGATCCTCTAGATATGTTTGAAATTAATTTGAATGTGGTTATAAATGTGGCAAGTAATGAGAAGGATGTAGAAAAGGATGTACTGGACTTCCAAGTGAAACTGGATAATGCTTCAATGTCTAAAAGAGATGCACAACTATCAAACAAAAAAGATGGATTTTTTTAAATTGGGTGTACAAAAAGATCTGTTAAAGAATTTGAAGAATTCTTTTTACTAGATGTACAAAGAAGTCTTGCTAAAATCCTGAAATAATTTTTGGGAAAGTATAAAAACAGATGACAAAAATTAAGTTGGAGGACTCTATTTGAATGGTTTAGAATTAACATCATTAAAAGTATAGGAAAAGAATACAAGGTGACAACACTTACTGGACTTTAGCTAATAAGGAATAAATGAAAAGGATTTGGTATTTTTTTAGTTAAGAGATGAGTTATGAGGTGAACAGAGAATATGTTATAACTTAAGAAATGGCAATACATTTATTTAAATTGTGTGTGCTTATTGGGATGAAAGGAGAGGTTACTTTTTTTCTTTTTCTTTTTCATATTAGCTTTTTTCTTTTTATAATTTTTCAGTTAGAGTAGTTTTTGTTCAACTGTAATATCTAATACAATTATTTGAAAAACTTGCAAATATTTGGTTTGTAACCCCTTATTAAGTAAGTACATTTATATGACAAAGGAATTATAATAGTGCTATATGTTAAGTATCTTCCCCAAAATGAACATTCATAAAATGCATATTAAATTTGTCTTACATTTGTATTATTTGTAAGCCTTTTAAGAAAGTTTCATTAAAATATTGAATGAAATTTGCATAAATATGGAGTAGTTGGAGTCAATAAAAAATTTCATCCATATCTACCCAGATGTAAACCACATAAGTATGTGTAGGAACAGAGCTTTTATGCAAAGTTGGGTGATACATGTTTACTATATTCAGTTTACACATGCCATTCTTCCTATTTTCTCCCTAACTGTTGAAACTAACAGCACAATCTTATGTGTTTTTTCGAAGAAGGAATTCAGAATGAATTCCTCTACCTGCTTAGAGGCCTTTCAATTGTTTACTGTATTCCATTGAATGAAACATTATTTCTATTAATGAAGTTGCAATTGATGATCAATTCCAATTATGCTGCATCAGGCAGAACATTTTATACAGAAATAGCCACTCTAGAATATAACTTCATGAATGAGCTCTTATTTCATTCACACCATGAGTTTTTATATTCTGTCTTATGCAAGAGGCAAGGTAGTATATATAATGCTGCTTCTTATTTTTCCCCACAGTAACCATCTTAGAATAGATGGACTGAATTGGAAGCTAAATTACAGGCTTGGTGAGTAACTGGATGGAAGACTACCAGAAAATAGCACAGCTGAAGGCTAGACTTGAAATTTGAAAAGCATTCTGAAAGAAAGCAATAGTAAACTTCTTGTTGTTTGCAATGCACATGTGTCCAAGAAATTGGGAATCATGTTCAGCTTCAAGGAAGCTTTTCATGTTGAATATATTAGAAATATACAGGATATATCTCTGTGTTATTTGTGATAGCAAAGTGTGATGTTTGTCCATGGTTTTGATAATAATAGTAAATTGTGTATGGATTTTTATTACTTTTATACTGAACTGTGTTCTTATGCATATAGAAGTATAACCACCTATACTTCTTGGAAGAAAGCTCGGCACCCTGGGGCTTAGATATTGCTCTTATCCATTTTCTAATCCATAGAAGAGGTCCAGTGGAAGAAATTAGTGGAAGAAATCTGATTCTAGCATTGTTGTTTCAACTTGCCCACATGACAGATGATTGGCATGAAATATGAAATACCGATTGGCATGAAATATGAAATAGCTGTTTCAGGTATCTTCAGCATATCTGAAATTGTCAATATTTCTCTCACCATTTTTAACTCCTTTCAGCAGTTCCAAGAAGGATCCACACCCATTTGCACTATTCAGGTGACCCTGAGGGCCCAGATAAACCTCCAAATGGCCTTAGTGACTCTCAGAAAGAATGATAATGACTGAGAGGAATATAAATTCTTCAGTCCTTTACCATTCAGTCTGAACTAAAGAAGCTTCCTAGATGAGAAGCAAAATGACTTAACGGAAAAAACAAAATCCAGTTGCCTTTTGAAAAAAGCATATTTGGCACAACCATGATCTGGTAGACTGAGAATCTTCACAGACACCAGTCATAATGCTTTTTGTAATTATAATGGGTTATTCATTATTTGTATGCTTTTATAATTCACAGCAGAAGTTCTGGTGCTCTCCTGATATGACAGGTTTCCAAGTGATAAAATCCATTTAAAAAGAAAAAAGCAAAGTCCATCTTCCATAATAATTTGTTTTATTTAGAAAAGCATCAAATTGGCAAAGTCTGTTGTAATTCCGGATCTGACACAACCCAGAATTACACCACATAATATTGGAAGTTAGAAACAACCCCTAAAAGTCACATTCTCCAATAGAAGTAAATCAACGTTGTCTGGTATCATCATCTCCACCTCCAGGTCTCAGCAGGGTCAGCTTTCATTCCTATGGGAAGAAATACCACCTAGCCTAAACAACTCTATCTTCACTCCTCCCACCTTAGGAATGTGGCAAGCCTGAAACCCTTCTCCCCTTAACCAGAAAAGAGAAAGAAAAGGAATATATAATAAATAAAATGGCTACACATATGTCAATTTCGGGCTTGACAGGATATGGATATTTTAACTGCCTTCATGAGCCATTAAGGTATGGGCAGAATTTTATTTAACACACAAACACGGAACCTGTCTTCTTGTAAGTATTTGATTATGGTAATTACTGGAAGATAGTTTCTCAATTTTTCTCAGAGGTTACATGCAGAATAGCCATTACATGTTTTGTGCATGTATATAAACCCCTGGTCTGTCTGTCCCCACAAGTGGATGCTATATATTTTGTAAGAAGGAATGAGAAAACAATGATTAGATCATAATTTTACTGTATCTAAATTTATTTTCCATGTGACATCATGTAGATAAATCAGGAAAAGTGAGCAAATAACATTTGGATATTTCCAAATATTCATTAACTGTGGAAGTATGGATGTTATTCTAAAACTGATTTTGTAACTGATACTGTTCCTCACTCTCAAATCAGCTGCAATACCAGCTCAGAAGTTTGTTCCCTCCACATTATATAGAAAGTAACCTCCCTATATAAAAAGCAACCGTGTCTTACTAATGGGCAATGGAATCTATCCATAGATAAAATAGTTTCATTTTTAGAGAAGGCATAGGATAGTATATAATGTTTTATCTCATTTTCTTTTAATTCTGCAATATCAGATGTACAGAAAGTGCTTATAGTATAAGCAATCTTGAAAGACAGAAGAGAAATCTACAAAAGGCACAATGAGTGTATAAGAACAAAATGATTTCATTATCAACTCAAAGGCCTTTTTGTGCACTTAAAGCTTTACCCATTGATGCAAAAATTATTTTTTTCTTTAGAGAAATTAAAAGAGTTATTATCATTGAAGTTAATCTCTTGAAGGCTTTCCTCTTCACCTGCAACCAACGAAAGAGCTTGTACAGAAGCTCTTTAAACAAAGTGTAAGCAGCGTATGTGCTGTTTTTGAACAATTGCTTTAAGTATATAGCATAAAACATTTAAACAAGTAACATGTTATCTATAAGACTAGCACAAAAGAGGGTTGCAAATGATTTATGATCAAACCAAACCAGAATTAATAATCAAACTATCAGTTATTTTGCAAAGCTTTATTTTAAAATCTTGTAGCTTTGTTTTTAATTATGCACCTTGCATTCCTGTTGATCCTTTCATGATTGCTCAAAGCAAATTTGCTGGTTCCCTAACCACTGAGGCTTTCAGATAACATATATGAGCCAATAAATATGTGCAAATAACAATCTGAGATTTTTGTTTATTTTTAAAAAGCTTATTTATTGTCTAAAAGGGCAAATTGAAAAATCATGTGATTAAAAAAAGCACAGTGCAAAAGTCCAGACAAAAAACTCTATACATGTTCCTCTCACTATAACACAGCATCAAGCAATCTTATATCATTTCCACAAAATTCCCCATTGTGGTCAGTCAAAGTAGCTGCAACTGAGTTTACATAAGATGTAATCCATTAAATTCCCATGTTTTACTGTCATCAAAAGGAAATGATGCTGTGTCAGAAACCCTATTTGAAAAAAAACATGTGCAACCTGCTAGAATATCTTCAGACCAATTAGTTAACAGCAATTCCTTTTAGATAGACATTCAGTTTTGCATCATATATTGTTTCCCAAAAATGGTACAAGAACTACTTCTGTCTTTCAGACAAACAGTATGATTGTCTCATAAGGATTCTCTCCAATGGATGTTGAAGAGAAATTTTCTACACAGTTGTTTGCTGAATTTTTCCCAATATGTTAACGCAAATAGGCAGAATATTTGTATTGTTTGTATATTGTAGGAAGAATATTATGCTCTTTTGCCCTTCTCTGTTCAAAACAGGGCTGAGTAATGCTATTCCCAAAAATAAGCAAATTTTGGGAGCGCAGTTCACCTGCTCAGCCACTCTCAAAAGTGGTTCAATTCGATTTGCTGATTGCTACAGCATGTTTCTGATACAGTACAAAATTGCTTTAAAAAGATAGAGGCAAAGAGGTTGTTATTAAGAAAGGGATATAAATGTAAAAATCTTGTCATTGCAGTTGTAACAGAAGGCCCCTGGAATTGGTATCATCTCTAGAAAATGCACACACTTATACATAGAGAAGCTGATATAGAACCCACCCACTACACAGCTTAGAACCGTTTAAAAGAGCTGAATTTAAGTTCTTAAGTGCAAGAGCTTTCCCAATTTGTTAGTGCATAACTTTGCTCAGATTGACC